ATTATTAGAAGGGTTAAGAGACTAGACAGGATCATCAAAAACACATGATACAGGGCCTTCCCTGGCAGTCCAGTGGTTAGGACTCCATGCTTTCACTGCCAAGGGCCCAGGTTCAGTCCCTGTTTGGGGAACTAAAATCACAAGCCGTGCAGCAGGGCCAAAAAAACCCCAACAAAACAAAAACATGATGCAGAGCCAATTAATTACTGACCTTAGATACCTTCTACCTAATGATCTCAGGTCCTGTGGGCACGACATAGAGATGAGAATGAAAAGAATTGTTACTGGGCTTCCCTGGTGGCGCAGTGGTTAAGAATTCGCCTGCCAATACAGGGGACATGGGTTCGAGCCCTGGTCCGAGAAGATCTCACATGCTGTGGAGCAACTAAGCCCATGTGCCGCAACTACTGAGGCTGTGCTCTAGAGCCTGCAAGCCACAACTACTGAAGCCCACGTGCCCTAGAGCCCGTGCTCCGCAACAAGAGAAGCTTCCGCAATGAGAAGCACGAGCACTGCACTGAAGAGTAGACCCCGCTCGCCACAACTAGAGAAAGCCTGCAAGCAGCAACAAAGACCCAAGACAGCCAAAGAAAATAAATTTATTAAAAAAAAATAATAGTTACTAGAGATCAAATAGGATCGAGCAGGTGAAGGAACTTTATAATTCATGAATTACTTATGTATGTTAAATGAAAATGAGAACGACTTCCTAATGTCTTCTTTCCTCACTTCTGCCATTTATGCCACTTGGTTTCCTAATCACCAGTTGACCACTGACCCGTTCTTCTCGCCAAGATATTCTCGCTGTGAGCCTGATCTGCAAGGTGGTCCCCTTAGGCCGAGCCCTGGCCCAGAGCTTCACACTGACTGTGGGGCCTGTTTGTGAGTTTCTGGGTTTGATTAACCCCCATGCACTCTGGTTCATGGAACCAAGATTCGGCCTACTGTTGATACTAACTTCTTGTAGGAATGGTGCTCTACAGTGATCTTACCAGTTTTTCTCCTCAAGGGCTAGAACTTCGCCTCTGACCACAGGCTTGTGATTAGGGCCCTACCTACTGACCAGACCTCTTAGCTGCTGACTCCACATGTGTCTAAGCTTACTAAAACATGGCTTCCTCACACCTGCCTCACCTTCCTATTGACTTTATCATCAACTTGTCTGAACTGTTTTGACTTTTCCCACCAATTTGAGGTTCTGGGCTGATTTCCCTTTTGCTTTTCAACTACCAGGCAAGTTTAGATCTAGATGTTGGCCCCTTCCTGACTGCCCTGTCCTCCCATGTTTATCTTTGTTTGTTTGTTTGTTTGTTTCTTTTTGTTGGTGGTGGTGGTTTTGTCCTCCGGTATTTAAACCGTCAAAATTCAGCCCCCCGCCTCCTTTTTTAATTGCGATATTCACCTTATTTTGGTGTTCTAGAACCAAACACACAGCATCTCAGAGGTTTGCCTGTATTTATTTTTTAAAGCAATATTTAAAAAATATTTATTTATTTGGCTGCATCAGGTCTTAGTTGCGGTGCACAGGCTCTTCATTGTGGGGCACGGGCTCTAGAGCGCGTGGGCTCTATAGTTGTGGTGCGCAGGAACTAGAGTGCACGGGCTTAGTTGCCCTGTGGCATGTCGGATCTTAGTTCCCTGACCAGAGATCAAACCTGCATCCCCTGCATTGGAAGGCAGATTCTTAACCACTGGACCACCAGGGAAGTCCCAATCAGTATTTTTTTTGATTGAAGCATAGCTGATTTACAATGTTGTGCTAATTTCTTCTGTACAGCAAAGTGATTCAGTTATACATATATATACATTTTTTTAAATATTCTTTTCTATATAGTTTATAATAGTATATTGAATATAGTTCTCTGTACTATACAAGTAGGACCTTGTTGTTTATCCATCCTATATATAAAACCTTAAATCTGCTAACCCCAGCCTCCCACTCCGTCCCTCCCTCAACTCCCTTCACCTTGGCAGCCACCAGTCTGTTCTCTGTGTCCCTGATTCTGTTTCATAGATAGGTTCATTTGTGTCATATTTTACATTCCACATATAGGTGATGTCATATGGTATCTGTCTTTCTCTTTCTGACTTCACTTAGTATGATAATCCCTAGTTGCATCCATGTTGCTGCAGATGATATTATTTCGTTCTTTTTTATGGCTGAGTAGTATTCCATTGTATATACGTACCACATCTTCTTTATCCATTCCTCTGTTGATGGACATTTAGGTTGTTTCCATGTCTTGGCTATTGTGAATAGTGCTGCTATGAACATAGGGGTGCATATGTCTTTTTGAATTATAGTTTTGTCTGGATATATGCCTAGGAGTGGGGTTGCTGGATCATATGATAATTCTATTTTTAGTTTTCTGAGGAACCTCCATACTGTTTTCCACAGTGACTGTACCAACTTACATTCCCACCAACAGTGTAGGAGGGTTCCTTTTTCTCCACACCCTCTCCAGCATTTGTCATTTGTAGACTTTTTAATGATGGCCATTCTGACCCATGTTAAATAGTACATTGTAGTTTTGATTTGCATTTCTCTAATAATTAGCAACTTTGAGCATCTTTTCATGTGCTTATTGGCCATCTGTATTTCTTCTTTGGAGAAATGTCTCTTTATGTCTTCTGCCCATTTTTTCGATTGGGTTGTTTGTTTTTTTGTTGTTGAGCTGTAGGAGCTGTTTGTATATTTTGGAAATTAAGCCCTTGTCAGTCGCATCATTTACAAATATTTTCTCCCATTCTGTAGGTTGTCTTCATTTTGTTTATGGTTTCCTTTGCTGTGCAAAAACTTCTAAGTTTGATTAGATCCCATTTGTTTATTTTTGCTTTTATTTCTGTTGCATTGGGAGACTGACTTAAAACATTGGTACAATTTATGTCAGATAGTGTTTTGCCTATGATCTCTTCTAGGAGTTTTATGGTGTCATGTCTTAAGTCTTTAAGCCATTTTGAGTTTATTTTTGTGTATGGTGAGAGGGTGTGTTCTAACTTCATTGATTTATTACATGGGGCTGTCCAGCTTTCCCAGTACCACTTGCTGAGCCAGAGGAGTAAAAGCCAGAAAGGATAAAAGAAAACCAGGTTTTCCTCTGACTTTTTCTTAGGGGTTTCTTCCCTTTTTCTTTTAAATATTATATTTCCCCAGGGTTCTGTCAGTGACTCTCTTTTTCTTTCCACCCTCTTTTCTTTGCACCTAATACACTTTCAGTCTCATGGTTATCAGTTATAAATTGTGCTGATGACTCCCAAAAACACACTTCTAGTGAAAACGTGTCTTTTGAACTAGAGTCCTAAGTCCATCATGACATGCTGTAGGCACCTCAAACAAACTCTCTTCCCTCCCAAGCCTAGACTTCCTATTGTATTCCTCATGTTGGTGTCTGGCACCACCATAAACCCTAGACAAAATCTTGTCTTCCTAGTCTTCAATTTTACCATTTCTATCCATTTAATCTCCAGACCCCGTTCTAGCTCTTAACTTTCTCTAAAATCCATACCCTTCTCTCAAGTCTAACTGCCACTGGACTGTAAGCTTCTGAGGCAGGAATCACACATGTAGGGTTTACTGTGTGCGGTGTGAGGTCCATGCATTAGCCAGCATGTGGTCAGTGCTTAGTATGTGTTGAATGAATGGATGGAGGCGAGTGCCTTGGCTCAAGCGGTCATTGTTTTCACCCAAATTACAGCAATATTTCCCTAACTGGCCACTCTGCTTTTAACTTCCTTTCAGTGTATTGTCTATACTGCCACTGGTGTGATACGTCTAAAATACAGGAAAATCTGTAAATAATTTAATGTGTATTTCTGTGAAATATAAAGTCTTACAAAAAGTCCTAACCTTGGGCTTCCCTGGTGGCGCAGTGTTTGAGAGTCCGCCTGCTGATGCAGGGGACACGGGTTCATGCCCCAGTCCAGGAAGATCCCACATGCCGCGGAGCGGCTAGGCCCGTGAGCCATGGCCGCTGAGCCTGCGTGTCTGGAGCCTGTGCTCCGCAACGGGAGAGGCCACAGCAGTGAGAGGTCCGCGTATTGAAAAAAAAAAAAAAAAAAAGTAACCACTATACCATTACCACAGCTAAAAATTTAACCATTATGCTTTCCCTTTTTTTCCCAAAATAAATGGATTTTGTCTTTGCCTTATGGGAAGCAATTATTCTTGAATATCATCAACTATTTAGTCAGCATTCAAATTTTCAGTTTTCTCATAATTTATTTTGAAAGTTATTTACAGTTTTTAAGAATTTAGGTTCTAAATGAAGTCTGTACATTGCAGTTGGCTTACATTTCTCTTAAGTTTCTTTTAATCTCTTTGTTTTCCTTCCATCTTGCTCTTTTTCATCTGTTGAAGAAACCAACTTGTTGAAGTGGGAGTTGGACCTAGTGATCATTCCTAGATAGATGATACTTTTCTCTTAGGCTCCTTGTTTTTAGGGTTCTGAAATTTTCTTTTTTTGCTGCACCATGCAGCTTGTGGAATCTTAGCTCCCCGACCAGGGATCAAACCTGCACTCTTGGCAGTGGAAGTGCAGAGTCCTAACCACTGGATCGCAAGGGAATTCCCTGAATTTTTCATTGTACGCGTTCCTTCCTGCATCTGTGGATTTGTGTTTCTCCTTCCTGGAGAGAGAGCCATGCCCATGCTGCCTGTTTCCTTTCCCTTTTCTCTGTAACCTTTATCCCCCTCTCTTCTATTCTCCTTCCCTTCCCACCCCCTTCAGTAAATGATAGAATACACAGTCATGTGATGTGAGCTAACTGGAGTTAAGCGAGCTTTCTTAAAAAAGGATTAAATTATCAAAATATAGTTAGAGAGTAAAGTAAAGTCAAATTCTGAGAGTCTGGTACCTAAACCTTTAGGTTCTTCCCTTCACCAAAATGTGAAGACTGAATTGGGTAGAAGCGTTGACCTCATGAATAGCTACGTAAAGTTAAAAAAAATATTTTTTTAAGAGTTTTACTACGTCCTTGTCAATGTTGTGTTTTCTTCCTAGATCTCCTCATATTTTGGATTCTGGCAATGTTATGATGAATGACACTTTGACATCAGATGTCATTGGTCGGAGAGTCGAAGTTAATGGAGAACATGCAACAGTGCGTTTTTCTGGCGTTGTCCCTCCTATGGCAGGTAATTTATGATTTGTGTGTGTGTATTTATTTTGTAGTTTCTGGGTAGGCTTCTCAGCAGTGCTTTATAACACCAGTTTTGAGGAAACTAACAACCAAGTTATATATACCTCTGATATACAGTTGTTTTCTTTCTGTGACAATATCCTGTGATATCCATGGCTTTATTTGATTACACACTTATCTAATTATTCAGTGTTGCTATTTTATATTAAGTCAACCTTAAAATATCTTCTGAGTAAACTTTAAACACTAATTAAAAATCTTGAATTCCCATAATCCTAAGCTCAAAAATGAAGTAATATTTGTGGAATTTCTCTTATCGTTAATCCATGTGTATGTTGTAGTTTAAATTGATATAAATACAATTTTGTGTTACCGTTTTTAACTTATGATTTGGTATATATTTATCTGTTTCTGTAGCATCATTTTACTTGTATTTCCTTTTTTATTGAGATATAATTGACATAATATTAGTTTCAGGTATACAACATAATGATTCAGTGTTTGTATACATTGCGAAACTATCACCACAATAAGTCTACTTCACGTATATCACCACACATACTTATACATTTTTGAGAATTTTAAGATCTCTCCAGGACTTACTTATTTTATAGCTGGAAGTTTGTACCTTTCGACCTCTTTCACCCATTTTAGCCACCTCCATCCTCCACCTCTGGCACCACCAATCTGATCTGTTCTCTGTATCTATGTGTTCTTTTCTTTCCTCCTCCCTCCCTCCCTCCTTTTCTTCCTTCGTTCCTTTCGCCTTTCCTTCCCCTTCCTTTTTTGTTTCTTTTATTTATTTATTTTGTGAATTTTGAGTATTTATTATTTTTGCATTTATGTATATATATTTTTAACATCTTTACTGCAATATAATTGCTTTACAATGGTTAGTTTCTGCTTTATAACAGTGAATCACTTATACGTATATCCCCATATCTCTTCCCTCTTGCATCTCCCTCCCACCCTCCCTATCCCACCCCTCTAGGTGGTCACAAATCACTGAGTTGATCTCCCTGTGCTATGCGGCTGCTTCCCACTAGCTATCTGTTTGACATTTGGTAGTGTATATATGTCCATGACACTCTCTCACTTCGTCCCAGCTTACCCTTCCCCCTCCCCATGTCCTCAGGTCCATTCTCTACATCTGCATCTTTATTCCTGTCCTGCCCCTTGGTTCTTCATAACCATTTTTCTTTTCTTTTTTTTTTTTAGATTCCATATATATGTGTTAGCATACGGTATTTGTTTTTCTCTTTCTGCCTTACTTCACTCTGTATGACAGACTCTAGGTCCATCCACCTCACTACAAATAACTCAGTTTCATTTCTTTTTATGACTGAGTAATATTCCATTGTATATATGTGCCACATCTTATTTATCCATTCATCTGTCAGTGGACACTTAGGTTGCTTCCATGTCCTGGCTGTTGTAAATAGAGCTCCAGTGAATGTTGTGGTACATAACTCTTTTTGAATTATGGTTTTCTCAGGGTATATGCCCAGTAGTGGGATTGCTGGGTCATACGGTAGTTCTATTTTTAGTTTTTTAAGGAACCTCCAAACTGTTCTCCATAGTGGCTGTATCAATTTACATTTCCACCAACGGTGTAAGAGGGTTCCCTTTTCTCCACACCCTCTCCAGCATTTATTGTTTGTAGATTTTTTCATGATGGCCATTCTGACCAGTGTGAGGTGATACCTCACTGTAGTTTTGATTTGCATTTCTCTAATAATTAGTGATGTTGAGCATTCTTTAATGTGTTTGTTGGCTATATGTATTGTTTGTTGACTATATGTATATCTTCTTTGGAGAAATGTCTGTTAAGGTCTTCTGCCCATTTTTGGATTGGGTTGTTTGTTTTTCTGGTATTGAGCTGCATGAGCTGCTTGTAAAGTTTGGAGATTAATCCTTTGCCAGTTGCTTCATTTGCAAATATTTTCTCCCATTCTAAGGGTTGTCTTTTGGTCTTGTTTATGGTTTCCTTTGCTGTGCAAAAGCTTTTAAGTTTCATTAGGTCCTATTTGTTAATTTTTGTTTTTATTTCCATTTCTGTAGGAGGTGGGTCAAAAAGGATCTTGCTGTTTTTTATGTAATAGTGTTCAGCCTATATGTTTTCTAAGAGTTTTATCGTGTCTGGCCTTACATTTAGGACTTTAATCCATATTGAGTTTATTTTTGTGTATGGTGTTAGGAAGTGTTCTAATTTCATTCTTCTACATGTAGCTGTCCAGTTTTCACAGCACCATTTATTGAAGAGGCTGTCTTTTCTCCATTGTGTATTCTTGCCTCCTTTATCAAAAATAAGGTGACCATATGTGCATGGGTTTATCTCTGGGCTTTCTATCCTGTTCTATTCTATCCTGTTCCATTGATAGCTACACAGGCTTCTTGGTGGCTACAGCAGCAGCCTTAGCATCTCATGGGTCTCCTTTTTGTATCCATTCAGCCAGTCTGTGTCTTTTGGTTGGAGCATTTAATCAATTTACATTTAAGGTAATTATCGATATGCATGTTCCTGTTACCATTTTCTTAATTGTTTTAGGTTTGTTATTGTAGGTCTTTTCCTTCTCTTGTGTTTCCTGCCTAGAGAAGTTCCTTTAGCATTTGTTGTAAAGCTGGTTTGGTGGTGCTGAATTCTCTTAGCTTTTGTTTGTCTGTAAAGTATTTAATTTCTGCGTCAACTCTGAATGAGATCCTTGCTGGGTAGAGTAATCTTGGTTGTAGGTTTTTCCCTTTCATCACTTTAAATATGTCCTGCCACTCCCTTCTGGCTCGTAGAGTTTCTGCTGAAAGATCAGCTGTCAACATAATGGGGATTCCCTTGTATGTTATTTGTTGTTTTTCCCTTGCTGCTTTTAATATTTTTTCTTTGTATTTAATTTTTGATAGTTTGATTAATATGTGTCTTGGCGTGTTTCTGCTTGGATTTATCCTGTATGGGACTCTCTGCGCTTCCTGGACTTGATTAACTATTTCCTTTCCTGAATTAGGGAAGTTTTCAACTATACTCTCTTCAAATATTTTCTCAGTCCCTTTCTTTTTCTCTTCCTCTTCTGCGACCCCTATAATTCGAATGTTGGTGCATTTAATGTTGTCCCAGAGGTTTCTGAGACTGTCCTCAATTCTTTTCATTCTTTTTTCTTTATTCTGCTCTGCAATAGTTATTTCCACTATTTTATCTTCCAGGTCACTTATCCATTCTTCTGCCTCAGTTATTCTGCTATTGATTCCTTCTAGAGAATTTTTAATTTCATTTATTGTGTTGTCCATCATTGTTTGCTTGCTCTTTAGTTCTGGTAGGCCCTTGTTAAACGTTTCTTGAGTTTTCTCCATTCTATTTCCAAGATTGTGGATCATCTTTACTATCATTACTCTGAATTCTTTTTCAGGTAGACTGCCTATTTCCTCTTCATTTGTTAGGTCTGGTGGGTTTTTATCTTGCTCCTTCATCTGCTGTGTGTTTTTCTGTCTTCTCATTTTGCTTATCTTACTGTGTTTGGGGTCTCCTTTTCGCAGGCTGCAGGCTCATAGTTCCCGCTGTTTTTGGTGTCTGCCCCCAGTGGCTAAGGTTGGTTCAGTGGGTGTGTAGGCTTCCTGGTGGAGGGGACTAGTGCCTGTGTTTTGGTGGATGAGGCTGGATATTGTCTTTATGGTGGGCAGGACCACGTCTGGTGGTGTGTTTTGGGGTGTCTGTGACCTTATTATATTTGAGGCAGCCTCTCTGCTAATGGGTGGGGTTGTGTTCCTGTCTTGCTAGTTGTTTGGCATAGGGTGTCCAGCACTGTAGCTTGCTCGTTGTTGAGTGGAGCTGGGTCTCAGTGTTGAGGTCTCTGGGAGAGCTTTTGCTGTTTGATATTACATGCAGCTGAGGGGTCTCTGGTGGACCAGTGTCTTGAACTCAGCTCTCCCACCTCAGAGGCACAGGCCTGACACACCGCCGGAGCACCAAGACCCTGCCAGCCACATGGCTCAGGAGAAAAGGGAAAAAAATAGAAAAGGAAGGAAGGGAGGGGAGGGGAGGGGAGGAAAAAATAATTGAATGAAAGGTATTTAAAAAATTATTGAAAATTAAAAAACTAAAACTTAATTTTAAAAAAAGAAAGAGGGAGTAACCAAACAGAAAAGCAAATCCACCAGTGATAACAAGCGCTAAAAATTATATTAAAAATAAACAAAAATGGACAGACAGAACGCTAGGAGAAATGGTAAAAGCTAAGCTATACAGACAAAATCACACAAAGAAGCATGCACATACATACTCACAAAAAGAGAAAAAGGAAAAGAATATATATATATCTATATGTTAAAAAGAAGGAAGAGAGCAACCAAATCAGTAAATAAATCGAATGATAATAAGCTCTAAATACTAAACTAAGATAAACATAAAACCAGAAACGAATTATATGCAGAAAGCAAACCCCAAGTCTACAGTTGCTCCCAGAGTCCACTGCCTCAATTTTGGGGTGATTCGTTGTCTATTCAGGTATTCCACAGATGCGGGGTACATCAGGTTGACTGTGGAGATTTAATCCCCTGCTCCTGAGGCTGCTGGGAGAGATTTCCCTTTCTCTTCTCTGTTCACACAGCTCCTGGGGTTCAGCTTTGGATTTGACCCGCCTCTGCATGTAGGTCACCTGAGGGCATCTGTTCCCGCCCAGACAGGATAGCGTTAAAGTAGCAGCTGCTTCGGGGGCTCTGGCTCACTTAGGCCGTGGGGAGGGAGGTGTATGGAATGCGGGGCGAGCCTGCGGCGGCAGAGGCCAGCGTGACGTTGCACCAGCCTGAGGTGCGCCGTGTGTTCTCCCGGGGAATTTGTCCCTGCATCCCGGGACCCTGGCAGAGGCGGGCTGCACAGGCTCCGGGGAGGGGAGGTGTGGATAGTGACCTGTGCTTGCACACAGGCTTCTTGGTGGCGGCAGCAGCAGCCTTAGCGTCTCATGCCCGTCTCTGGGGTCCGCACTGATAGCCGCAGCTCGCGCCCGTTTCTGG